AATAGTGTAAAATGGCGGCTGAATCCCTAGCAGTGCTGTGCCTCTTGCCAGTTCATAGCGTTCCCGTTTGATGGATTCGCCTCCAATCTTCATCAAGGTAGCTATTTTGGTTGTTCATTTGTGTTTTATTCATGTTTTTCTGGATGCTTTCCTCTTCGCGGCTTCAGTTTTTGCGGCGTGGTGTGTTGGTAATATTCCCGAATTTGGATGTCACCAAGTTGTTATCTTCTTGGTGCTTTGGAGGCATTGTAGCAGATCTTTAGGAAGACTACTCCCTGTTTTTGGGCTTTTCCCCTCATTCTACTCGGCGCTTGTGATTCTGGAAGTTTTCCCGTGGTTCAAATGTGGTATTGTGGATGATGTTCGCCATTGCCGCGGCTTCTACGGTGGTGTTCTTGTTACCCTGTTCCAGGGGATGTTCTAAGAACTTTCCTTTTGGTGTTTTGGTGTTTTTTCCATTGTATTTTGGTTAGTTTGCTCTCTCTGGACTACTGAGCTACTTTCTTCTTTCGTTGGTACGGGTATATTGAAAACATAACATCTTTCTTCCCTCCGACTGTGACCGAAGCTGGTTTGAACTGGGCCAAACCATCATTTGTTGAAGTGGTTGATAAAGGCAGGGATCATTTGAAGATTGGGGACACTCTAGTTTTTCATCATGTGTATCATGATTCATCCTCAGAACATGGGTATTGTAATTTCATCAAAAAGCAGGTAAAAAGGGGGGAAAACTAGCACTTCAATTACTGATACGGAAGTTTGAAACTTTAACTGTAAATTTACACTGATTGGAAAGTTTCATTTGGACATCCTAAGATGGAAGCTATTAGGAAAGTATTTGAAGATTTCAAATTAGTTGGCGCATGGAAGGTGGGCCTTTTTCATAGAAGGCATGTTATGATACAACTAATTAAAAAAAAAAAGATTATGCAAAGATTTTTTTTATGAAATACATCTTAATTATGGATAAACATATGAAATTGTTTAAATGAACTCCTGAATTTGATCCAAGTCAAGAACCTCCCATCGTACCTATATGGTTTAAATTAGGAAGGCTCAAATTACACTTCTTCATGTTATGATAACTTTGAAATTTATAACGATCGACTACGAAGCGAATAAATATAGCACGAGAAAATTAACACCAAAAACACACAGATTTACGTGGTTCGGCAAATTGCCTACATCCACGGAGTTGCAGAGGATTTTACTAATTTAGGAATTTACACCGTTTGATCTCAACTACAATTAAAGGATCTCTCACTTGCTCTTTCTCTTTTCACCGAGATTCACCCAAGTGCAAGAACTCCAAAGAAGAAGAAATACGTACAAGAAAAAATTTTTTTTTTCTTCTGCTCCAAGCCAAACAAGAAGAATCAAGAATAAGCACCTTCTTCTTCACTATCTTCTTCTTCTTCTTCACTATCTTCTTCTTTTTCTTCACTATCTTCTTCTTTTCCTTCTTCCTTCTTCTACTCCCGTAAGCCTCAAGAAGAATCCAAAGGAGAAATCTTCTTCCTGCGATGCCTACAGTAGATCGCAAAACCAGAGAATGGAGAAAGGAGGAATCGCGCGGGAATTTCTCTCTCGGCGGGCTTCTTTCGCACGCAGGGACGGGAGAAATCGCACGGACGGGGGAGGGATAGCGAACGGGAGAAAGAGAGATAGATATGTCGCGAATAGGAGCGGTTCGCGAAAAATAGGAGCGAGAGAGACGGGAGGGAAGAAACGTGCAGTTATTCCCCCTTTTTTTTTGTTTTTTCTTATAACGGGCTCCTCACTTCAATCATCAAGTGCTCTATTCTAATGGGGCTACCCTAGGGAGACCAATGAAGTTAGATATTTCTACCTTTAATCATCCTTCAACTATAAGGATCCTTGTAGAGAGGGATACTACACTTCCAGAAATAAAAAAAATCCGGTCTGACACTGCTCACAATGGTTACTGACAACAAATCATTATGAAGTAAAGACATTACTATTGCAATCACTGCAAGATGTTTGGTCATACACAGGATAAATGCTTCAGACTGCACCCAAACTTGAAATCAAATGCTCCAATCCAGTTAGATATAGATGCTCCTATGGATGAAACAAATACAAAAGAACCATGTGTTTTTTCCCCTGAGGGAAATCCCCCACTAGAACCACATATTGCTAAAGAATTGGGTACTCTAACTTTGGAGGCAAATGATATCCCTATTGTCCCTAACACCAACAATATCATCCAAGTGGAGGAAAACTTAGTCGCAATAGAAGATCTTCCAAAAATGTTTAATGACACTTTACCTCATCAGTTTTTTCCTCCCCAACCAGGTTGGCAGGGCGTTTCCGACACTGCTACTAATCATTTAGTTGTAGTAGATGATTCCCTAATTGTCGTGGAACTACCAATTTCTTGAGAAAAGAGTACTCAAGGCCAAGTGGAACAACATACCCCAGGGTATGATCTCTATGGAAGATAAGTGGTAGTTTCAAAAAGCTAAGAGGAAGAGAAAAGGTATGCTAGCGCAGGATGTCTTTTGGGTAGTTTCAGAAGGAAGCTCTCATAATAGTTTGTTGTTGGACTTACTCCCTAGAAATAGGGGGAGGGGAAGAGTAAAACCAACCCGCCTTGATTATTCCCTTCTCGGCGTGGTGGTGCTATCCGTGGTCTTATTTGTGACTTTTTTCAACTTTATTATCAAGGTATTTTTGTTATTCTCAAAAATGGTTTTGCAGGCGATATTTGGGTTTTTGGCTTATCACGTGGTTTTAGGGTATACTACTATTATTTTTTTGTTCCCTTTTTTGGGCGTATTTTCCCTTACAGCCACTCACTAAAGCTTTATATCTTCCTTTGTTATCAATGAATTTGCCTTTTGGTTGAAACTTACCAAATTGGCTACTTAGAAATAGGGGTGTAAATGACTCGTTAAAAAATATCATTGTTCGTGTTCGGCTCATTTATATTTCGAACACAAAAGTGTGTTCGTGTTAGACTTGTTTGCTTAGCGAGTCGAACACGAGTTGTTCGCGAACAACGAGTCATTTTGATAACTCTAATTACACAGCCGTAGGATGTTAAAGGTTGGGGCAAGATTTAAGTTTTATTGTTTATATTAAAACATCATTTAAATATAATTTAATATATTTTTAATTCTATTTTTTAATTAATAATCTTAATTGATTATAAGTCTTTGTAGCCTTGTAGTTAATTCAAAATTTTTAAAATATATATATATAATTGATGAGTTGTATAGTCAAATATTTTAATTGTCCACAAAGCTCAACAATCAATTAGAAAAATAGAATAAAAATATGTTGAATTATGTTTAAATGATGTTTAAATATAAATTTATAGATTTATGTCTCGCCCTACCTTAATATCTTACGCCTGCAAGACTAGAGGAGTCAAAACCACTCTTTGTTCGTGAACAACTCGTGTACGGCTTGTCAAGTAAATGCCCCGAACAAGAACAAATTTTTGTATTTGAAATATAAACAAACTGGACACAAAGAGTAGTATTTTTTAACGAGCCAAACAAGTGCCGAGCCCAGGCTTGCTTGTGTTCGGCTCGTTTACACCCCTACGTAAACCCAAGCCGCCTATGATTATAAACAGAGGTTACACACTCGATTCTCTGAAATTAGTAGTCTCATCTCATTTTTCTTTGGTGGCTCAAGGGGTGCCTACTCAAGGACAATTTGAGGTTTAACATACATATCATAAAAAATTGTTACAGCACAGGGCAGAAGAGGAATCACTCAAATCTAGTTGAGTGTTCAAAAAAGAAGAGAAAATGAAGCTTAACTATAATTATTTATATAACATTAAAATTTACTATTTTAATTAATCGAGCTTGCTAATAACATGTCTGACATTTGACCAACATCACTTACATAATTTATATTACAATGTATCAATACATCAAACATAAATGATATCAACGTGCATAAAACTATCAAAAATATCATTTTCATTATTCAATATAGCAAAATGCATGGTATACAACATCCTTTCTAATTTATCAAAGAAAAAATATTTATCAACAAATTGGTGATTTATATTCAAATACATTGAATTGTGTTGTGTATTCCAGCCTGTTTGACATGTTTGGTGTAAGACCCCTGAGGTCGTGAGTTCTAATCCCTCTCTAGCGATGTGAGCCTTAAGGAGGGTAGTGCTTAAATTGTTAGGCACATTAGGAGGGGTTGGAGGCTTGTATAAAAGCTTTTGGCCATTCCTTTATATATATATATA